GTTGCCACTTCCGGTCCCGGGAAACTACAGCGACCGGCGGCCCCGACCTCCCCGGAGCTACGGTTTTCGGCGGTCCGGCTCCGCCTCTGTCTCCGGGGAGCTGCGGCGGCTCTGTCGGGGAAGCGGGGGCTAGGCCTGCAGCCGTTCCCGGAGCTGTGCCCCGGGTGCCCAGAAGTGGGCGCCCGCTGAAGGAGGAATTCTGAAGTCACGCCCTCGGGACCAGTGGTGCCGGCCTCATTCAGCCTCCCCGCCCTCCCAGTGTGAACGTGGAAGGATGAACCCGGGGGTTGCAGTGACTGACAGGAGAAGAGAAGGCTTTGAGGGGTCCCCCCCGCCCTCCAAGTGTGAACGCGGAAGGATGAACCCCGGGGGTTGCAGTGACTGACAGGAGAAGCGAAGGCTTTGAGGGGTCCTCCCCGCCCTCCCAGTGTGAACGTGGAAGGATGAACCCGGGGGCTGCAGTGACTGACAGGAGAAGCGAAGGCTTTGAGGGGTCCTCCCCGCCCTCCCAGTGTGAACGTGGAAGGATGAACCCGGGGGTTGCAGTGACTGACAGGAGAAGTGAAGGCTTTGAGGGGTCCTCCCCGCCCTCCCAGTGTGAACGTGGAAGGATGAACCCGGGGGTTGCAGTGACTGACAGGAGACGCGAAGGCTTTGAGGGGCCCTCCCCGCCCTCCCAGTGTGAACGTGGAAGGATGAACCCGGGGGTTGCAGTGACTGACAGGAGAAGAGAAGGCTTTGAGGGGTCCCCCCCCGCCCTCCAAGTGTGAACGCGGAAGGATGAACCCGGGGGTTGCAGTGACAGGAGAAGCGAAGGCTTTGAGGGGTCCTCCCCGCCCTCCCAGTGTGAACGTGGAAGGATGAACCCACGGGCTACAGTGACTGACAGGAGAGGAGAAGGCTTTGAGGGGTCCCAGGAAGGTGGCCGGGCTGGCGTCTCAGCATGGGCCACACCTGGCTCCTCTCCAGTCCTCTCATGCCCTCCCGTTTCCCTTTGAAGATGCTGATGCCTCATCCTTTCCAAAGAGGGGTTGTATGTCTGTTTATCTCTTGCCTCCTCACCTCAGTGGCTTCAAATAACAGCAATCGTTATTTTATGACGTCCTGCAGTCTGGCGTTACCTGGGCTCAGCTAGGTCGTTTGCATTTGGGATCTCTCCTGCAGTCCCTGCTAGATGGTGGCTGGGGCTGGAGCTGTCCTCAGAGTTTTCTCCCTCACATCTTTGGTGACTGATGCTGGTGGCCGGCCGGGACCTCATGTGTGGCGGTTAGGCAGCACACCTACATGTGGCTTCTACATGCAACTAAGGCTTCCTTGCAGTATGGCAGCTGGGTTCCAAGGGTAGCCTTCCAAGACAACAAGATGGGCCACGTGTGTGGTATTTTTATGACCTAGCTCAGAAGTCACATAGTGTCACTCCTGCCAGACTCTAGGGTCAAGTCAGTCAGACAAGTCTGCCCAGGCTTAAGGGATGGGGACCTATGACCTCTGAGGCAGGAGCAAAAGACCTCAGCCTATTTCCATATAAATAATGAAGAAGAAAGTAACTAGAAATATAACCATAGTAGTTATTAGTTATTCGTAGGTGATCTTATTCATAGGTGACCTTAATTCCTTTACTAATGCCTATCAGGTCGGAAGTGTGAACCTGGGGTGACATTGTGAAATGAATGACACTAAGGCAAGTTGCTCTAAGTCCTCTGTCACACGCGCACAAGGGCTGCTGGAGGGCGCCTTGGCTGTGCGGCAGCGCCAGCGCCGGGAAAGTGCCCGCTGTTTAGCCAGCTAGGGAAGGAGACGTCCAAGATGGCGGAGATGTTGCCTTCCTGGGGAAGTTGGGAGAAAACTCCACTTCTCCAGGCTCTTGTGGTGAGGCCTGACGCTGTCAGGAGGCCCACAGACATCTGGGGCTTAACTGTCCGTATGTGACACTGTGCTTCAGCAGTCACGTTCCATGTCCACTCTCATGTTCTGCTTCTGCACCTGGTTCTGTTCTGCTTCTGTTCCTTTTGTCTTAGAAAAGATAATCAGTAATCGTCATATAAATCCTAATGTTTCAGTTCTTTCTTGATACGTATGGAAAAGGTGCTGATGCATTATGCTCCTTGCCTCACTTCAGGTGCCAGAAATTCCTGAGCCCCCACCTGAATGACAGGCGATGTACTTGACCCTATCACTGCCACACACTATCCACCCTGCCCCCAGTCTCTGACCACCAAGGCCATGCCCTACCTACCCCGCCCTCAGATTTGCAGCTCACTAAAAGTGAGAGTGTCCCGTCCTGCATTTGGGGCCACTGCTGGTCTCCGCGATCTGGGTAGCACTGGAGACTGGGCCCAAACTCTCTTTTGTCTATCTCTGTGTCTTGTGTCTTTTATTTCTACAATTTCTTGTCTCCACACCAGCCAAGAGGGGCTCACAGCACTCCGCAGGACTGGACCCTACAGGGACCTGGACCCCACCCTTCAGTGGTGTGAGTGTCAGCATGACACTGTAAGAAGAGCAGGTGAGCTAGGGCAATGCAGTCTGCTACAGGTGCCCAAGTTCACCAGTCACAGCATCCCCTCGAGGTGGTTATGCTCTCCTGAAAGACGGAGGCATTCGAGTGAGTGAGCCACAGCCCTACTGCAGCTGGTCTGAGGCCATGATGGGTCACCATCCTCTGCCACTGGGCACCCCCGAGTCCCCACCCTCTGCCCTGCAGCCAGACACTGCTTACTGTGGAGCAGCCCAGGTGGTGCCAGTCAGCCTACCATGCCAGCCACCTCCTGGGTTCAAGTCTTTCTCGTATCTTAGCCTCCCAAGTAGCTGGGATTATAGACACCTAGCACCATGCCTGGCTATTTTTTTTTTTTTTTTTTTGAGACGGTGTCCTGCTGTCAGCCAGGCTGAAGCGCAGTGGCACCATCTCAGCTCACTGCAACCTCCACTTCCTGGGCTCAGACAATGCTCCTACCTCAGCCTCCGAAGTAGCTGGGATTACAGGCAGTCACCACCATGGCCTGCTAACCTTTTCTTTGTATTTTTAGTAGACATGGGGTTTTAACATGCTGGTCTTGAACTCCTGACCTCAAGTCATCACCTGCCTCAGTCTCCCACAGTGCTGGGATTACAAGTATGAGCCACTGTGCCCGGGCAATTTTATGTATTTTTAGTTGAGATGGGGTTTCGCCATGTTGATCAGGCTGGTCTCGAACTCCTAACCTCAAGTGATCCACCCGCCTTGGCCTCCCAGAGTGCTGGGATTACGGGTGTGAGCCACCGCTCCCAGCCATGACTGGGCGGTGGTTGCGGCTGCCCTCTGACAGTCCTTGCCACATGCGGGAAGACTAGACGCCTAGAGAGTTCTGTCGGCTGCCCACCCTAATTGTGTAGCACTGGTGTTAGCAGCTCAGGACAATGAGGATGTTGTCAGTCTTCAGCCTAAGAAGTTTAAAGTGGGCCAGTGAGAGCTGCTATTTCAAGATCAGTGGAACCTTTGCTGTGTTCCCTGGTGGAAGTGTTCACCTTCAGGAACTAGGGCTTCCAACCTGGCAGTATCCCAGGGTTAGAATCATGAGGCCACTCCAACCTCACACCTTTGGTTCTCCCACACATGGGTTGATTCAAATTCTGGAGGCCTAAAGCTTATACAAATTCAGGAGAAGTATCCCCAGTACATCTCCGGAGTCATTGATTTGCTAGAAGGACTCACAGGACTCACTAGAGACTTGTCTGCACGGCTAAGATTATTACACAGAGAGGATGTAAGTCTGAATCAGCAAAGGGAAAAAGTGCATGGGATGAACTCTGCAGGAACTCACGCGTGAGGTGGCCAAGTCCTCTCCTGGTGGACTCCACAGGAAGAAGCTGGGTCAGTGTGTGGGAAACGCTGGCTGCCAGGGAAGCTTCTTAGACACTCAGTGCCCTGGGGTTTTATGGAGGGCCGGTCACATACGCAGTCTGTGCCAAGCACGTGCCCAAATTCCAGACTCCCAGAAGCAACACAGGTGTTCAGCATGAGCCATGTTTGTACAAACAGTCTAGGCACAGTGAAACACACTTACCAGAGAGTGAGGGGAGCCACCCCAGAACCCAGGTTCAAGCTTGCCTGTGAATAAGAGCTTCTCAGTCTTGCTGTTAACTCTTCTACACAGTCTTCTTTTGAAACATAAGACAAAATTATGTATCTAAAACTAGGCGTGAGACAAGATGTTCTGACACATATTTTAAAAGTTGACAAA